GTTAGATATCTTTAAGGTATATTAGTCCGACCAGAGCAATTATTTTGTCTTTATAATCGTCATCAGTCATCAAGAAATCACCAGGTTTCAGTAAATCTAAAAGGCCACTTATAACCTCATTTTGATACAATACTAAACCACGTGATGAAACGGTAGTCATTCCTTTTAAAGTTAGTATTCGTAAAACGTCGATTCTACTGTCGATTGATTTGTCAATATTAGAAAAACGTTTTTGTGCAATCTGCACATGGTCCGATGAGAGTATGGTAACTAGAGTGAAAAATGACACACTGCTGTTGATGTTAGTTGTCGATGAGCAATTTCGTGGGTATTTACGCTAATCTCACTCAATTGAAACAATAACGTAGTAAGTAATACGAAATAGTCAAACATAACAATTATAAGAATCCAAGGTAAAAACATTATTAGTATTTTAGCGCGCAAGTTAGAGGCTTGTCTATACAGCTTTGAGATCAAGTAAGTATTTTCTTTTCTGTTAAAAGTACGATTGGTAGAGTTATTAAACATTATTTCATAATATCATCATTTTTTAAATTAATTACAATAAGAAAGTATAATTGTATATTAAATTTTTTTACGAATTTCGAGAAAGTTTAAAAAAATGATATCATCAATAGAACATAAACATTAATTTTTTCTTAATTATTGGAATAGGAGCTACTGTTCCATGAATTTTTTTAGAGAAATTTTTTACCTGACAATAAAATAGTTTTAAAATTTACTTATAATATCCAAATTAATATCATATTGAATTTTTTAGATGTATTACAAAGTTATTTTGATTCTAAGAATTTATCCAACTGGTTTGCGAAACCAATATCTTCTAATAAATTGTTAAATTTTTATTCAAATTATCATAATAACACTGTTTTTAACTTATAATCAGCGGAACAATTTTGTTACCAGACAAAAACTTTTATAGGTAAATGATAGATGAATACTTAAGAATATGTATACAGAAAATCAGATACGTAAAAGGTGCACCTCACAAATTAAGCCATTTAAGCATCAGGGCTGTTAGATGTAACATCTAGGAATATAAGGCGCTCTTTACAGAGACTATTATCGTTGTGTAGTTACATCAGGACGATACTTAATAGAACATATGCTAAAAAAACTTAACTTACTAGAACGCACTATTTTCTACCTGTAAACACTCTGGGATCTCACACGCTGAAATGTTTCATTTCTTGAAAATGCACATCGTAAACCCCATTCTTGGCATATACACCCACCCAGACTTCGTACAAGTGAGTGATTAATTTGTCACGATATCGACGATCAATTTGTCAGCATACTTGCTTAGGATTACAAATCAACATAAATGGTGTACTGTTCTAATAAAGTCTTACAATAAAAGTACAAAATTTTTTTAATTATCCTGTACGTGGTTATGCTTTTGATTAGCTCGAAAACAAGCATGAAAAACATGACAAAAAAATAAAAAATGTATGGAATACTTAGTTTAGTAAGAATTATTCATAAATAGAAACAAACCAGAATCCTGCTTTCCGTCGAGGGGTTCCAAGGCCTTGCGTTTCTTTCCAAGCTTCTTTCGCCGTTCAATGGCATATTCAGCAGTAATGGCACAGGTAGTAGTAGCAGACGATGGCACGTTTGTAACGCCAGCCAGTGTTGAGGCCAGAAGTCTCCTCTCTTGGCATGTGCTTTCAAGAGCTTCTTTGTGGTAGCACGGAAGGTCGAACTCAAGACTGCACAGCTTGCTAAATTCTATGACAAGACGGTCAAGCTCCTGACCAACTGCTGGGTTGATCCGGATCGGCACTTTCGGTGCGACAATGATACGACGACGGTGCCGATGGTGATGGTGGCTGTGGTGGTTATGATGCAGTCGCAACCCACTATCTCTTGGAACATGTGATAGTCCTTGCTGCAACTCATCAGTTTTCAAATCATAATACAAATACAAGAAGTTTATAAATTTAATTGAACTTAATTGAGTTATTCTTTTTTCGCCATCTATATTTTACTATGTTACACAGTTGTTGCGTACGAGACTAAGTAACCCCCACCCCTTAGACCTTTTATAACACTCATAGAATATGGTAAAATTATTCCTCTTATTTTAATTTATAAGAACACCTAAATTTCTCTCCTAATTATTTACTCGAAACTCCTCACCCCTCCCTTATACACCTCACCAAATAGATAGTTTTACTCTTTATTTCGTTATTTAGACATTTTTAGACCTCTAAGTAGTCCCTTGCCGCCATTTGACAGTACCCTTACACTACAACGGAGAACTAATCATTTGCAGAAGCCCAAGAAGCTCGAGATCTTTATATTTTTTACTTTACCAGAGAACCTTTTTGTCTATAAATTATGTATAAACAGAAAAGTAACAAAAGTACCTCTATCAGGAACAGTTCACTTCATCTTAAAACTAATATTTCTCAGTCCTAAAGGGTACCTTTGAACAACCATAGTAAAATATCCTGGTTTAATTTTGGGAACGAAAAAGTTAGAAAAGTTGGTTAAGGACTAAAATAAAGGTCAAACTGGATTTTAAATTGTGAATAAATTTTTTTTGGCTCTAGGCATACAAAAAAGCGTTATTTATGTTTTTTCCAGACTGTGACGTTTGAACGCCTTTTAATATTTATTAAGATACATAGCCTACATACATCATTTTAAACAGAAAAACCAGGTGTTGGTCTCGGGACTCCCGGCAGAAGTGAAACTTTCAACTCGTATGTTATTAAACTCGGTGTAATAGAAACTGAGAAAATTAGAGTACACCTAATTTCAAAAGGTCTTTGTAAATCAGATATTAAAATAGTAGAATTTTTAATATTATTAGATATTCGAGAACGTGCACGCAAGCAATACACATACTTTAATATACTACTCATATTACACGTGATTCCTGCATTTTACGTACTCCAATTTTTGCTATGATATGTGTATAAATACATGTATGCATTGTTGGTCATGTAATACAGANTACAACGGAGAACTAATCATTTGCAGAAGCCCAAGAAGCTCGAGATCTTTATATTTTTTACTTTACCAGAGAACCTTTTTGTCTATAAATTATGTATAAACAGAAAAGTAACAAAAGTACCTCTATCAGGAACAGTTCACTTCATCTTAAAACTAATATTTCTCAGTCCTAAAGGGTACCTTTGAACAACCATAGTAAAATATCCTGGTTTAATTTTGGGAACGAAAAAGTTAGAAAAGTTGGTTAAGGACTAAAATAAAGGTCAAACTGGATTTTAAATTGTGAATAAATTTTTTTTGGCTCTAGGCATACAAAAAAGCGTTATTTATGTTTTTTCCAGACTGTGACGTTTGAACGCCTTTTAATATTTATTAAGATACATAGCCTACATACATCATTTTAAACAGAAAAACCAGGTGTTGGTCTCGGGACTCCCGGCAGAAGTGAAACTTTCAACTCGTATGTTATTAAACTCGGTGTAATAGAAACTGAGAAAATTAGAGTACACCTAATTTCAAAAGGTCTTTAAGAATCTGATATTATCCGACAAATAAAAATCTCAAAATCAATAATAAGAATATAGGTTTTGGTCATGTGACCATTACTTTTATAATACACAATAGAAAATAGAAAATAAATCGATCTATAGCTAGGATATGTATTATGTAGGTTTGCCTTTGAGATATGACTAAGTCTTGATTGAGATAAGTACAAATAATAAATATTTTTGCACTTTACTGCTTATTTTCTATACGTGGAATTATTTTTTGCCTACCTAGCGTCCCTTTCGAGATGTGACTACTTTTTTTAAATTATTTTAGGAGCGTGTCTTAAAATAAAAATTTTTCAAAGATTTTGTAACGTTCGTATGAATTTTCCAAACATGGCATACAAGAAAGAAAATTTTTTTTAAATCGTTCTTTACAAGATACAGTCAAAAAACGAGAAAATTAAAGTTATGTTTATACATAGTTCAATCTCTCTCTATTTGTGCACCTTGATCATGTAATTCTCTTTTGAAAAACCCGTCAAAACTTTTATTTTTAGCCGATTTCGCTTTCCTTACGAGATACAGTGTTTTTGCTTATTTTTAAAAGTAAGATTGCCATATTATACACGTATCATACTTTATGCACATTTCTTTACATACATATTTACTTGTAAAAGGATCCATTGGAAAGGAAAACGATTTTTACAATATTTTTTTCAAGATTTTAAAGAGATCAAGTGACGTTTTGTGGCAGGCATTAATTACCTGACAGCACCTTAGATGGGGGTCTTATTAAGTGCTTCGATCTACGCAATACAATTTTAAATTAATGGTTATAAACCTAGTCAGAACATGCTCGGAGGACGTTTGTTACATTTTTGTCAAATTCTAGTATGTATGTGACAGTAATTCTCAAAAGCGATCAGGTACATCGAATGACGAAAAAAGACCCCTGCAAAGAAAGCCTAGTTTAGCCCTTATTACAGCCACGTTACGCTTCCACCATGCAGCAGTAGGTATATTTAGAGGCTATATCTTGTCTTATCTTACTAATATATAAAGCAAAGTCGCTAAAACCGTTGTAATCGCTAACCGCAAAAACTACTGAACCAATTTTGCTGAAATTTTGCACACTGATTCATGATACTTCCTAAATGGTTTTAGTATAGTTTTTATCGTAAAAAATTTAATAACAATAGCAATGAATGAGCTCAAAGTTTTGCAAAAATACGCCAGCTTTTCACTTTAGTTCAGTAAAATCCGCTAGGTGGTGTCGACATAAAATCAAGGCTACCTGCAACAGAATTAAATAAGTGTGGTTATAATACGCCGGAGCGTCCCGATATCTGATGCAGTCGTGCTTCGGCAGCTTAGCGAGCTGCATAGACAATGGAGATCATAGTCCTGCAGCTGGATACACCGGTTACGGACGACACTCTTCACTAAGGGGAAAAGGACCTACGTTTCCATTCACCCTGAATCTCGATGAGTGTAATAAAAATAAAAGACATTCCTACCGATGACGTCTCCGGCACAATACCAGGAGACATATCTAGCCAGAGCACAATCTGCACTAACTCTTCAGAGTTGTGTGGAAGTCCCACCATCCCGCCTGGTGCAGTTAGAGAATTTTAGGCTACAAATATAAGCCAGGGAAAACAACTCTGAGGAGCACGGGCAGCCACAACGGCTACCTTCTTAGACGTCGCGTCCCCAACTTACCCACATGTTCCCGTCGAACGATGAGCGGTTGGTTATCCGGGGAACGACCCGATCATCCAAAGACGAGATATTCTTTGGTCAGCGGCGTACCTCCCTCCATCACAGTCTCCGTACATCGAGACTCCCAGGGTAAGAATCAAGCAACCCGTAGCCAGCTCTCTATCATCAGGAACAATAATAAAGAATAGCCTGGAAATTTCACCACTGGCGCTTTTTAGGGCCATTATAAGTATTTACGTTTCCTACTTCACCATCAATTTCATCGGTTGTTTTTAGGGGAGACCTAAGTTTAAACTACCTTGCCAACAAATACATTTTTACTACCGTTTCTGGAACCAATTCGTCAACTAAAAGACTATATTAACTAAAGACGGGCACTATTAAACCGAGTCAGCCATTCACTGACAGACGTCACCTGCGAAGTTGTTCTTCGCAAGGCTGGAAAACCCGGTGACCGACGACCCTATATTACTCTCTCGACTCTAAGCATTCAACCAGGAATCACTGATCCTCTCCAAGGTCTGCGCTGGGTAAACCTATAACAGCTTTAAAGGAAAAAAAAATTGAGCCAACGGGACAGCCTCCACTGGACAAGTATCACTAACCAATCTCCCCATCTAAGATCACCAAAACAACTGAATCTGCAAATAAAAAAGGTGCTTTAGACACCAACGTCTTGGACGTTATACCGAAAGACGTTGGGAAAGAGCACTACAACTAGCCCCAAAGCTTCGGACTTTGTAATTTTTCTCCCGATCAGTCTGAGTTTTTAACAGCAGGCCAGAGAAGATCACCCTGAGGTATTCGGGCAGTCACAATTGCTGTTAACTGCAGTCAAGAAAGAGTTAACTTAAGAAGCTCACCGTTTTTTTTTTAGGGCCATCGGACGTCGAACTACCTTGCCAACAAATATATAAGGACTTAACAAAGTTGACAGAAAACAGCTTTTAG